TGACTGGGTGAGCATTGTGCCCAGGGGACAGCATTGATGGGAGACCTGCATGTACCTTTCCCACTGTCTGTCTGGGTGGTCTCAGCCTTTGCTCTGGCAAATGCTTCCAGCCATCCCTGGTGCTCTTGGCTGTGCTGCACTGCTCTTCTATTGTACCTTGCTGAGAGTTTTATCTAATGGCCTTTTGGAATGAGTTAAGAAATTGCTGAAATACTACCAGGATCCTGCCTGATTTTCAGGCTCCCCACTGGTTCTTTACCTGAGACCACTGAAAGTGCTGTGGCTCTCCGGCTTGAAGCTTGAGCATTATTATGTCTCATGCAATGACTGTCTCACTTCTGCATCATCTGATGGTTCCAGGCCACGTCCTTCCCACTAGGCCAGGAGTGCCTGCTGCTGTCTTTATTGCACATCAGCTGGGAGCTGGATGTGCCCTCTGTGTGCTGGTCAATGAGCACCTGCTGCCAACAGCAGAGCTGGACAAAATGTTATCACATTTAAGGAAGATTTTCTTGTGATTTCTGTTTGTCTCCACCTCCGCATTTTTTAGGTTTTGGCTGGCTCTAGGGCCCCTCCAACAACACTCTGTAAACCTGGACAGCTTTTGAAAACTGGCTGCCTCATGTTCTGCAGAGAGTAAAAATTAATTACTTGTTTTAAAGCATTTAACCGGAGTGGGAAGCTGCACATATGTATGAGCTTGGTTAGGAGTGTTTTTGATGCCTTGGGGCTCCTTGTGTGTACTTTGTGGGTGCTGTTTGCTGTTGTCCTGCCCCTGCTGTCTCCTGACATCTCTGCAATTCCTTCCATGACTTTGTATTTGTATCCTTTGCTGCTCCCCCCTCACCCTACCATGGGTAAGGGGCTCATGGCCACACCAGGATCTCCCACTGGGGCACAGTTCCCTGGCCACCTCATGCCTTCCATGGAGCAATGGGTTGCAGTGCTGGTGCTCCAGGGAAGGTGAATGCGTAGGTGCTGGGGTGTTCTTGGCTGCTTGTTGGATCTTCAGGAAACTCAGTGTGTTTGATTGGATGGGAGAGCTGAAGCCTTTGATAATCGTGGGTTTTGATTTTTCTTATTTTCCAAAATCTAGTTACCAATTTTATTATTTTTTTTGTGACTTGATAGGCTTATTTTTTAACTTGGTATAGTTAATAAAGTGATGTAAAACTGACTGCTTATGCAGAGTACTCCAGTACAGAACACTTTTTCCTACTGGTTTTATTCTAAGCAGTACAGCTTAGAATAAATAAATCATATTGTCTTTGTGTAAAGCAACATCTAGACTGGAATTTTTTATTTTTAGTTTTGTGCCTGATTTTTGGTGGCTTCTCTAAATTTAGAACCCATTTTTTTTTACCACATTAAAAAACCTTAAAATGCAAAGTATGTAATGTGTTAATTAGGGACCTTGGGAGGGAAACTCCCAATCTTTTGCAAGGCAATTCTCTTGGAAGGGGAGCAAGGGACTTCAAGAACTTCAATTAAACATGTATATCTTGTGGAAGATCCAAAGTAATTTAGAGCTGAGAACAGAGTGTTGGTTAATGGGATCTCTGGGTCAGACTCTGAGCCTTGGAAGTCTCATGCTGCACTGCTTGTCCCTAGAGACAGGGCAGGAAAAGCTGGGGTCTGTTTTGCTCTCTGACAAGACATCTCCCAGAGGAATTGCAAGGAGTAGTATCTTTGCACAGCTATTTCTTTTCCCTAAAAATACGTTTTTTAATCTATTAAGTTAGTGGCTCAGCTGGTGTTCCTTTGCTTCAGCTTTGAAGGCTAAACACTGCATATATACATCATTTCTAAAATGATGGATTTCTCCTATGCTGTGTCATTGTGCGTTATTGTATCCCCAGAGGCACCACGGTGTTGGTTTGCCCTGCTCTGCTGGCCCTGTAGGAATGTTTTGGGGATGCTCCTGTGCTCCAGGGAGGTTGGGTGGGTGCTGTGGCAGCACCTGGTGTGGGTGACCCATCCCTGTGCAGAGACTGCAAATGTGGCATGACCTTCAATAGCTGTTTTCTGTGCCAATAGCTGGGTAGTTTATTTATGGAGACTCATATATCCATGAGAGTTTCTTGCAGTCTGAGCACTTGAGGTTTTTCAAAATAGATATTCTACAGTTGATGAGAATGGTCATTTTTGTGACATTACCTGTCTTCTGTGTCAGTGAATGTTGAGGCTTATTACATCTTGCTTCTGAAATGCTCTAAAAATTCTGACTTTATCTGCAGGCTTAATTGCTGCCCATTAAAACCTCTCTGATCCAGACTGAATAGCAATGGAGATGGATGGAAGAGCTGATTTGCTGAAAGGGCTTCATGCATTGTGGAAGGCATCAGGTCACTGCAGCACATTAAGAATAACCAAGTCTAAAGATAAGAGTTACTTAAAATTAGAGATTGAATACATTTCTGGGAATGTTAGAGGATGTTAACACAAATAATGCATTTTTCTGCACTGGGGTTAGAATGAGAATAAAAAGGGAAGACCCTTCACAAAGCACTGCACTCTGCTTTTGGCAGAAATATTGGGTGTAGATAGTAAACGTGAGCTAACAGGTCTGAAGGTGCATGGGGGAGGCTTGCTGTTCTTACAGTGCTTTGGGATCACAAGAAGTGCAAACATCACTTTATTACCATGCTCTACCAAGCATCTAATGGAGTGATTCTGTGGCACTCTGTGTGCCTGACAAGTGGCTGCTAGCATTGTGTCACAGACAGGCTCTGTTTGTCCCTGTCACACATTGGCTATGCACAACTGCTGGTGTAGAGTTAAAAAAAAAAAAAAGATATGCAAAACCCCCAACCAAATATGTGTGTCCGTTTTCTGATAGAAAAGGAATGGAAGAAAATAAAAGATTTTAAGAATCATGTGGAAGGACTTGGACCTGTCTTCAGCCTGGGAATATATTTTTTAACTTCACATTTCTTTTAGAACCTGATAAACCACACCTTTCAACACAAAACAGTTACTGGAATTAGAAAGTTTTATCCCTCATCCCATGAGGTTGCAAATATAAAAGCATTACCTTAGGGATGTGTCTGATTCTCTCACAAGCACACAAGCACGTAATTCCTCCAATACCTTGGAGATTAATGCTTAATGAGGAGTTAGTGGTGCCAGAAGAGGGCTTTCTGTGGGGCCGTGTTAAGTGTCACCAAATACAGTTTCAGGATCTCAGACAGAGGCATTGGAGTTGCTAATTGAACTGGGGGTGTTCTCTAAGTGGCAGATGAGACTTGAGACACTCAGACTGATTGCTCTGTCATGCAGCCAGCCACAGCATAGAGCTGTTACCCTAGAGGGATGCCAGTAACTCATCTCTGACCTTTGTGACTGATAGATGGGGGAATACTCCTCTGACCCTGGCATTTCAAAAAACGTTGACTTATCTTTTCTGTTTATTGATGCAAAAATCAATTCAAGTTGTGGGGGGTTTTATGATAGATGAATTGATGCAAGTCCTTTCCATCTTGCTTTTGTTGTTTCTGTGCAGTTAGCCTCATCTCTGCATTAAAAGCAGATGAAGAGACTGAAATTTCTAATGGCTTTTGCAATGAGTCAGAAGTGCATGTCTAGACTCCTTAGACAGTTTTTGTTTTCTCACTAGCACATAGGATGAGAGTTTCTCTTTAGAAAACTAACTTTAGTTATATAGCCAGCTCCAAGCATAATAGTTTTCCCATTTGGAGAATTTTACCAGCTTATGTCAAAGCTGTATCTTAACTTAGCATGTCTGTGCTGAGACCTTCATGATCCCTTCTCAGTTCTCATCTTTAGGAGGTTCTTTCATCTTGTATTTACACAGCCAATGTATTCTTAATTTTTTGGGGAAGTTGGAGTGAAACTAGATTGTCTCCTTTGCTCCTCCACTGAATCAAAAGTCCTGTCTATTTGTCTGTCTGTCTACTCTTTAATTCCTGAAGTGACATGTGTACCTGCAAAATGTGATTCACTTGCCTGTTGCTCCTGCTAAGAGTGAGGCTTCTGAGTGGTGTCCTAGTCCCAAATGGCAGCAGCAGAAGCAGCAGCAAACCTTTCCTAGATGCATTCAACAAGTGGCCAAAGTCGTGGCCTAAGCAATGTGTGCTGCTGTGTGGCTTCCCAGCTCTGCAGGGATGGGTGTCACCTTTTTGGAAGAGGGAAAACAAGTATATTAGGTGGGGTACAACTAGTGAAATCATCTAGCTGCCAAATCCAGAGACTGAATGAAATTTAATGTTAAATAAAATGAATAAATAAAGTGCTAAAGGTTTGCTGTTCGCAATGTATCTACTGGTAATGCTTAAAAAGTCAACCTCGTGGTTGTTACTTAAAATGCTGGAGTGAAAATCTGATGGTGACAGGTGCAGCTCTCGTCTCTGCCCACTCAGAGCCTTGTGTTCCCCTGGATCTGCTCGTGCAGCTGTGGTTGCTGAGCCCAGTCCCACGTCTGAGCTGAATCTTCCAGCTGTGGCCCCTCCGTGGGGGTGACCCCGTGAGATCCTGCCGGGAGCACGGGGCTGGGGGCACACGGAGGAGCTCAGTGTTGAGGGCTGGTGGCAGTGGCACCCAGCAGCAAACTTCAGGGACTATAATGAGGCAGATTTTAAATGAAGTAGTTGAGTAATTGCAGTTTAAGTTTTTTGCCTCAAAATGCATCTCCAGTGAAAGCAGCGGTGGCTTTGTCTACTGATGTAGAAATTTCCAACTTAGCACGTCAATACCTTTTATGAAATACACCTGATTACCCTGGAGGAAAGGCTGATCCCATCTCTTGAAAGTCTTTGTCCATGTTACTGCTGCCTTAGTTTGAATAGATTTCTGCTCTGCAGGAAATGCAGCTGCACTATCACTAGAGTCTTCGTTCTAGTATAAAAGCTAACTCCATTTCTTGACACTTCTCATGACGCATAGTTTTGGTTTAAGGACTGTGAGCTGTAGCAGTTATAATATTTTAAGTGTTTGCTATATTTTTCTACTTCACTAAAATGATAAAATTCTCTCATTTACAGGGTGGCACACAGAAGTATATTGTGAAGAACTACTTCTACTACTACTTGTTCAAGTTTTCAGCTGCTTTGGGTGAAGAGATTTTTTATATCACTTTCCTTCCATTTACCTACTGGAATATAGACCACTCTGTGTCTAGAAGAATGATAATTGTTTGGTCTGTAAGTATTTCCATGATTAATTCAAACTTAAATTCTGTATCTGTAGCAAATGAATGTTCAAGAGCAAGAACAACCCCTCAAACAAAAGAAGCACCAACACTATTCATGTTTAGGAAGAATAGGCATTGCAATACTGAGAGAGGAGGAGAGAGGCATCATCTGACTCAGGGTTTCTTCATCTCTGCCACATCTTGGACTGACTTTTTTTCAGCACAATCACTGACTGAACTGCTTTTGACAGAGTTTGCACAGAGCAGTTGGGAAAACACATCCTTCCCAATGCATCATAGTATTTCAGGGATTGTTTTCCATCACTCTAAGAAATCTTTCTCTTATTCTCATTTCTTCTGTGCAACTTCATATAGTTATGGCTTGGTTGAAATTACTATAAACCTGATAGAAAGGGGATATGCAGGCTGCAGTGGAATAAGCAGGGTGTTTCTGCAGTCACTTGAGGGGGAAAGATCATATTGTCTGTTGAAGGCTAAGCCTTGAAAGCACTGATTTTTATTAATATGAGAGCATTCACAAATTAACTGATTTCAGCATTGCTTCAGCATGGGTTTGGGGTATATAGGATAATGTATTTCTATTGTAGCACTGAAAAAACAGGAGATAATCAGGCACCATAGGCCAGGACTGGGTGTTTTGTCACTGCTGTTGCTCATCTTGGTATTGATCAGATATTGCTGCCCAAATAAAACTATTTTGGAACAGAGAAGGGAGGTAGGGAGTACATCTGCCAGGTGCCATAGCCTGAAGGTTTAACTATCAATCTACACTGATTTAAGAAATTGAAGCTTGGTTAAAACTCAGATATGATACCCATGTTTATTTCTTTACAGTGAAGCTTCTCCGTGATCTAGTCAATTCTGGTTAATAATATTTTGTCTTTTGACCAAATAATATGATAAGAAATAATAAAACCAATTTGAATTGGGTCATACACTTCAAATACACCTGGTCTTGAACAGAAGACATCAGTTACTGTGCCAGTAACCTTAGTCAGTACATTTTATAAAGAGAACATGAAAAATAACTTGCAGGTGATATTTAGAAGTAGGTGGACACAGTATAACTAGAGCTGGGTTTTGGCCAGGAGTACACCTACAGATTCTGGAAATGTGCCACTGAAGATGAAAATTCATAGTCACTGCCTTCTGGGTTTGCATATTGCTCAAAAGAATGGGCCTTTGGAGTTCTTTACATGCATTTCTGTAGACTTGCCTTGCCTTTTCTTTGCAAGGAATTCATCTGAGTATTGGCCAGATCTAGTCTGACTTAATTAAAGTATTCAAGCATCTGATACTATAATAATTAATATAATTTTTCATTTACTGAGTTGTGGAGTTGCACTTTATACTGAAATGGGGAAACTGTTTTAAATACATGGGCTTGTAACAATCTGTATTTTTAAAATATTAATTATATGTAATTGTGAAATGGCTAAAAATGTCTGTGCAGGTCATGTGTTAATGTTGTGGCATGCTCAGCTGGGAGGGTGTCTTATTGGTGAGCAGGGACTGGCACTCACAGTGCTGGTGTTGGTCTGTCTAACAGAGTCATGAAATCATAGAATGGCTGGGGTGGGAAGGGACCTTTAAAGCCACCTACTCCCATCCCCTCTGCCATGGGCAGGGACACCTTCCACTAGACCAGGTTGCTCCAAGCCCTGTCCAGCCTGGCATCAGATGCCTTGGTCATGCATGTGGCATTTGGCTCAGCTGCAAGGAAAACACCAAGGTGTCAGTGGGACAAAGCTGTGCTTTTAACTAAATTGGAGGTTTTTGGTGATAGAGATTTGAAGAAATGCTTCTGAATGCATGATGATGATGATGATGCATGGCTAAGAAGAACTGTGTTAGATGACAGAAAAAATCCAGGCAGCCTGACAGTCTCTGACAACAGCTGTGAGTGGAGGGCTGGGAAGAGCATGAAGGGATAATTGCAGGACCCAGGCATATTCTGCAGAAGGCTCTTACCCATCTGGGGAAAGGAACTGGTATCAAAGGGAGAGCCTCAAGGGAAAGGGAGGAGTAGCTCCCCTTTAAAGGGGATGCTCAGGATGAGGAGAGGTTGTTAGTGAAGCTCTTCAGCAGGGAGAAAGAGTGGACCAACAATGACTTTTTCAAGAGCCTGGGGCAGAGCACACAGGTATGTTGGGAATCTGGCTGTCAGGGATGATGATGAAACCACTGGCCAGGACAAGTGGCTCTGGAGAAGCAGAAGTGGTGCTGAGGGTGGTACTTTTTGTGCTGTTTCCCACTTAAACCTGAAAGTTTCTGCTGTGAGTTGGAAATGACAATGTTGGTGTCCCAGGATGAATCAGGGGAGTTTCTTCCCTTAAAAATTAAAGCAGCATTAATTCTGTTGATAAAGACTTCCTGCCATCTTATCTGTAATAGTTTATGCAGAGGCAGTCACCTCCATTTGAGAAAGAAAATTTCAAACTGGAGAAGGGCCAGGGATGATTAAAGAACAAATTATTTTCTGAGCAGAAACCAAAAGCTTAGACAAATCCCTAACAAAATGAAGTTGGAGAGAGAATGGGGCTGGCTGCAAAAACCATGGGAAGGAAGGAGCTTCTTAAAACTAAACTACAGTCACAAGAAGAAACATGCATAAGGCAGTCATAAATAATTTCAGTTGAAGCCAAAGGTTGTGAAATAACTCTATAAGAGTGAAGGGCAGAAAGAAAAAATATAGAGTTTATTTCAGCAGCAGCAGAGGAGTGGACTTGGAACCCTGGAATGTCTTGCCCAGCCCTAGGTCCCCAGATAGAGCTACTTGTGCTTTTCTGTTCAGGTGGATGGCTGTAGGAAATGCCAACCATTGTTGCATCCCGATGCTTTGGCAGCTTAAAGCAGCATGTTGTGCTTCCATGGGGCCTTGTCTCTGAGGATTCAGAGTATTTATGCAGGCTTTACCTTTACCTTTGTGGACATAACAGAGGAGATGGAGGAAATGACTGTATGAAACCTCTGAGCAAGGTGCTAAGTCAGTAATGAAGGTACCCTGCTGTCTTTGCTTCTCCTCTCCAGCAATTTGAAGTAAGTACTCTTGAAACTGCACAGGCAAGGCTTTGATGCCTGTGACTCTTGCAATTTCAGCCAGGAAGTGCAGAGATGAAAAATAGCTTCACACAGTCCCCAAATGTACTTTCAATTTACTGCATGTCTCAGCTCAAGAGGTGAAAGCTCACTTTCTGTTTGTTTGTTTTTTCTTTTTGCACTGCTTCAGGTTTGAAATCTTTATTTTGGTGTGGAATTTCAAAGGCAGAGACCTGGAAAAAATACTTACTGTTTCAGTTTGCTATTCAGCATGCCTGGAATTATCTTTTTCTGTTTTTTTTTCCTCAGGCCACGCCTCTTTAGAGCCTATAAAACTAATTCATGCAATGTAAATAAGAGCTGGCCAGCATGGACTTTGTTGGGGCAGGTGTGGAAGCTTCTGGCATGTGACAGTGATAAGCTGCTGACTCAGGGGTAGGTGGCACCTCTGAAGGAAGGCAGAGTTTGGGTGTTGGGTGATGCCAGGCTGTGTGTGCCCCTCAGGACTCCCTGAGCAGCACTGGGTGGGGACATCTTCAGCAAGTCTGAAAAGGTACTGGGTCTGAACCCATATCAGTTTAGCTTTCCATCTTGCTTTTCAGAGGAACAGCTTTCTAAAGGCTGTCAGCACTTAGTTATTCAGCAGTGATGAGCTCTGAACTCCCTCTCAGGGTCACCAGGAGTTTCCTGGTCAGCAGGACTTTGCCTGCAATTGTGATGCCACTGATATTGCTGTGCACTGATTGAAAACACACTTGGAAGCAAACCTTGGGTTTAACAATTCTTATGTGTTTGTTAATTTTAGTGCCTTTGCAACACTTCACCGAAACAAGCCTGGAACTGCTGACAAACACAGTCACTTGAAAGCCAAGCTCTTCAAAGCACCAAAATATTGCACTGCACAAGAACATGTAAAACTGTATTCAGGCACATAAGTAACTACATGTCAGAATACAAAAACAAATGGTGTGTGCAAGTTGATAAAGTGTTGATTGAAAGGGAATTTTGCAAGAGCTGGTAGCTGTACTCCACCCTTGAAGAAAAAGTGCCAATGAGGCTTTCATAACTGAGATGAGCTGTGAATCATTTAAGGTGAAGTTTAAACTGGAAACCTTTTGTATTGCGGTACAACTTCTAGGTGTAACAGTTTGCCAGTTTTAGATGCTAGATGACAAACTAGATCAATGTGGCAAAACTTTTCCCTGCTACTAGGAGTCTGGACCCAAATTTCCTTCTCTAAGCCCATTATAAGATAGTCAACTACCTTATAGATTTTGTCTAAAGGCTTCTTTTAAAAACACAGTAATGTGTTAGGGTATTGGCTGGTTGTGCTTCTGGAGGCTCAAGGTTCTATTGATCTTGTTCTGGTTTTGTGTTTCTGAAGCCTGAATTGAGACAGTCCTCCTTCCTTATATATATATATATATGAATAATATATACTTATAATTATATATAAATTATATATATATGAATAATATAGGGTTATAGGGATATATAAATTATATATATACATTTTATATATATATAAATTTTATATATATATATATATTTTAAAAAATCCTTTTTTGAGAAGCTGCCCTTGCTGTGTCTTCCCTGTCCCTGTGTCTCCTGCTGTCCTTTGCTGGGATGTGAATGCTGTGCTGCTTGTGGTGGGCTGGAGATCTGCCTGTTGGATTTGCTGCTCTCATGGTGGCTGGGACAGCCCAAGGGTTTGAGCATCCCACCAGCTGACTGCAACCTTGAATGTGCCATTGACCCTGGCCAAACCCTTGGTAAAAGTGAAAAGTTCCTGTGCAGCCAGCGCAAGGCTGATGTATTTTCTGGGAAACAATAGCCAATGTGGAAATGGCAGGTCCTGGAGCTCTAGGAGAGCCAGCTACCCTCTCCCACAAGGTGTGTGTGCCTCGAGAAGGATCCCAGCCCTGTTGGCACATGGGGAGCAGCCCCGTGCTTCAGGAGGGGATGGGGGAGGATGAGGATGGCTCAGGGGCCCAGGCTGGAGGTGTCTGAGGCTCCCCTGCTCCGCAGGGCTTCCTCCACCTGGGCTGCTGCCAGGGCAAGAGGCCAACAGTGCTGCTCAGTGACTTTCATGGTGTGCTTTCCTGAAGCCAAGCCTTACTTCTTGACATTGACTTGGGGGTAGGAGGAGTACCTCCACAGGAACGTGTTTTTCCTTGCCCTGTTCTTCTTTCACTCTGAAAGGAGTGATGCCTGGGGGACACAATCACAGCTACTATCTGCTGCAGTCTTTATCTGGCCACTTAACTTGTGGGATGCTGAGAATAGAGCAGTGCAGGCTGGGTGCTTGGCTTAATTTCTTTATGGCAAATCAAAGTCACGCCTGCCTCAGCAACCACATACAGTCTTTACTTCTGCTTGACTGATCTGCAAATGTTCATTAATAGTGCATCCTTCTTTTTTTTCTTCAATATGCTTGGTTGCTCCTGCCAGTGCACAGTGCTTGTGAAAGAAACCCAAAGTAACATCATTTTCAAAATTTTGTTTCTGAGAAGATGACATATACTACTGCTGGTCAGGGTTTCTAGAGGCAGGTTATAGAGTTTCTATTTTGGAGCTAAACCAGCAGATTCAAAGTCAGGCTGCCACACTGTGAGTCTCAGGGAAGAAGTTGCCAATGTTATTTGACCACATCTTCTCTGGAGTTTTGTCTTGTTCTTATAATAGATCAATAATGAAGATAAGGACAGCTGCAAAATCAGAAGTTGAAAACAAATATAAGCTGGTTCCCTTTTGTTAGCTGAAATATTACAGAATACAAAAAGAACTGCTCCTCCTGACCTTCATATGCCAGTGGGAGGGTCAGGTGTGTCCATCCTGTGCAGAGGTTCTAGCAAGGCAGGGATGAAGGAAGATGTCCACACACAGCACACCTGCAGCACTGAGCATGTTTCCTCAGTCCTGCCAGGCTCAGTGTCTGGGCAGCTGCCATAGGAATATTCCACAGCAGAAATTGCACTCTGTGGCAGTGCTGCCACAGAGAAATGCACAAGGAACCCTCTCTGCACAGGGAACTGGCTTAGTTGGGTCTGTCTGTTCCATGTGTGTCTGCACCGTGGTGGTAAATCTGCTTCCAGAGCTCTTGCTTCCTGTAAAGGGAGTGATGCATGTGAGGAGTGAGGGGAAAGCATTGCAAATGCCAGACAACATCTGCAGGTGTTGTCTCTTAGATGGCTGACTTACACACCAGCTGTACGGATGTCAGGGAAACAGGTCACTTCATGGCACTCATACTCAGAAGGAGGGGAGCAGCCCCTCACTCCAGAGGGACCTCCTGCAGATGTTGGAACAAATGAATAGGTACCCACAACTGTGTGGATGCTAATGCCTCAGATTTGGTTCTGTAGTTGTTCACTAAAGCAAGCTCTGTTAAAATACAAAGATATATTTGTCTTGTTTATCCTGATGCAAAGGCTCAGGTGAAGAAGTATTTTTGGAGATAGACCATATATATGACTCAGAGCAAATTAAGAGGAAGCTCTCAGAAAAAGACTAGAGGCTGTCTTGCTGCTATAGCAACTGCCAATTGCCGCTGTGTAGTAAAATGTAATGCTATTCACCCAAAGTAGCAATAAAGCCTTGCCTTTCCTTCACCTGGAATCCTGTAAAGGGTTGCTGTTGCGTATTGCCCTCAGCACAGCCCAGCCAAGCTGTAGTGGTAGGCGGCAGAGTTTGAGGACGGTCTTGGGTTTTAAGTTGCTTACAGTTTTGGGGGGTTTTGTTCTTTGTTTGTTTGTTTGTTTTATTGCTGCTTACATTTGTTGCAGGATTTAACCCGGAAGAGTTCAAAGTCATTTTCATTGCATTGGGAAATCATGGATGAGATTGGGTGAGAGAAGGGTGGGGGTGGGCACTGCTGGATGGGTCCCGCTAGTGCTGCTCCTGCCCTGCTCTGTGGCACAGGGCTGTCCCCAAGGAGGGCACCGCACTGCCCGGGGCAGGCAGCTCTGGCAGAAGCGCTGTTTGCTTTGCCGTGCTGCGAGCAAAGAGCCAGTGCGGATTCTGGGCAGTGCCCAGCCCCTGCAGCACCCCCAGCCCCCGCAGTGCAGGTGACACAGAGCACCACCTGTGTGGGGTGGCCTTTAGCAATGTGCCCCTGCCATCATTCTCCCGGGAAGCCAGTTCAGCTGCTGGGGGGTGTTTTGCCCCATCCGCAAGTGCTGCTTCTGCCTCATAATTCAGAATAATATGTGTAAAGCCACGTGCATGGTACCCAGATAAGCTAAAGGTAAAGGTCTGGTGCTTCAGAGATCAGTGCTCAGTCTGAGCGTATTCTGGAGTCCCCTGCACGTTCTATGAAGGTCATCTCACCTCTCCTTACAGTCTATACAATGTGCTTCTAAAAAGTAGAAGGGTCAGAATTTAATCTGGGATGCCAGGAAGGGGAGGGTGTTGTGAGGATGCCTGGTATTTTCACTTACCCATCCCACCTCCAGCATTCAGTCTGTTTTTCACCATCACAGGAGTCCTAGCATAGCCTTCATTTTTGAGATGACTCATTTCCTTTTCTGCAATGCTCTTATGTTCTAGTGCTAATAATACTTCCACAAGTGGAAGTCATTATTATAGAGGACTGCTGATAAACTGGCTCATCCTACCTTGCCTCTCAGATGGTATCACAAATGGCAGCCTCAATGTTTTATGTTCTGCCTGAGAGAGTAATTTTTCTTTCAACCCTGGAATTTAATTAACTTCTAAACATGTGCCTGCATCCATTTGGAAACTGATGGCATTAACTAAATAAACCCACACAGTAGGTTTTTAAAAGACATTTGTTCCTTGAGCCTTCGTTTATTGTGAACAGTCTGGGGCAGAGTATTCACTGTCTTCCCCGTGCTGTGTGTGTCTGTAGGAGCAGCCAGGTGTGTCTCACTTGCTGCTGATAATAAGGCACTAACGTGATTCACATGATGAGGGATAAAAGCTGCAAAGGCAGCAGCAGTCACTTTTCCAGGCCCTGGTGCTGGCTGTAAGTCTAACACTCCCTGCCATGTGCTTTGCTGTAGAGAGACGGATGAAGGAATGTGACTGGCTTTTTCCTGGTCCTGACATGTGAATCCTGAATCCTGCCATCTTTCTTTTCATGTGAAACCATTTTTTAAATGGCTGATGGGAGACAGAGGGATGCAATGTGCCTGGTGACGAATGTGGCAGTGGGTGATTGTGTTGCTGTTCCAGCATATGGCCAACACCAGTAGCAAGGGAAGGATGTTATTCTAAGCCCCCTCCTTTGCTGGTGGAAGCACGAGAAGCAGAAGAGCGAGCTGTCTCACACAGCAACTGAGCTTTCATGGTAGACACCAATTGACCTCATTTTTGTATTTAAAAAAAAAAAGGTTTGCTTGGCTTTGTTTTAAAGAGCCTTCTCCGCCTATATGTGGCTACATTATCTAAGGGGAGGAGGACTACAACAGAAAGCAAATAGATCCTACAGGGACAGCCTGGTTAACTTTTCTCAGATGCCCTCAGTGTGGATGCTGAGAGCCTGCTGCCTTTGGGAAGAGGGCGCTAAGGAGCCAAGCATGCCCTGAGCATGGCTGGATGGGCAGCACCTCTCAGGGATGTTGGACAGCATTGCCCCTCGCCTCTGCTTCCCTTGCTGACCTGAGAGTGTGACAAGTCCCCTAAAAGTACTGTGTTACTGTGCTCGGGAGCTAATTAATGCAGCCCCCACTTAAACCTCTGGTGTCCCAGGCAGGGAATAAAAGCCTTTTACTGGGGAGTTAGGCAGGAGAACTGGTACCTCGTGTTGCTTGTCCAGTTTTCCCCCTGCTGCCTCTGTGAGGATGCTGAGGCTGTCATTTAATAACCACAGGGGTGGAGTGTCCCAGCAGGGTTTCTGCAGCGCCGGGTGGAGTGGGAGCTGCTGGGAACGGGGGAGCTGCTGCTGGTTTAAGGCAGTGATTGGAAGGTGGGGGTGGAAAAATTTCTCTTATGGCTGTTTTCTTTGCAGGAGAGGTATTGTAAGGGATAGTGAGGAAATTTAAACTTCTCTGGCATGGGGTGGGAGCCAGCTGTCTGTCTCACACTGTCCTGTATTGCTGAATCTCATCAGCCAACCCTCCTTTTGGTCCCACTTCTCCTCAGGTTACCATACAGTGCAGCAAAACCACCACTTCTTTCGCTGGCTGAGCTAATGGAAACCCATTTAATAATTCAGGGGATAAATTCTGCACTTGGAGGGGTGGATTCTACAGGAAAAAGCACAGGTGGTTCTTGGGTGGGCTGCATGGGGATTGCCTGTGCTGACAAGCCTGTGGCCTTTCCTGTCCCCAGATAGTGATGTACATAGGCCAGGTCTCCAAGGACATCCTGAAGTGGCCTCGGCCCCTGTCACCACCTGTCGTGAAGCTGGAGATGAGGACGAATGCAGAGTATGGGATGCCATCCACCCACGCCATGGCAGCTACAGCCATCTCCTTCTCCTTTTTCATTGCAACCATGAACCAGTACAAGGTAGGGGTTACAAAAAGAAAACAACAAAAAGAAAAAGAAAATACATTAAAAAAAGAAAAGCCTGTGTCTGCTTCCAGCAAGCCACATAAATCTTGCAAATCCAAAGATGCTATTTCCAGAGGAATTCTTTATTTATTTTCACACATTTTCACATGTGTATTCTTCCCCGTGCTTACCTGTAGCTGGCCAATAATAGACACAAAAAGAAATTTAGTGGAAATATCCTTTTTTTGCCTGGACTCCTCTCAGAGCTGCTGTCAGGCTGCACTGCCCTGCTGGGGTTTGGTGGCTTCACTGTGTTTTTGCACATGTTGGCCATGGAGGGAAGGTGCCTGATTGCCAGCATTTTGTGCTCACCCCATGCCCACCAAGTCAGTGCTGCACATCAGGACATGCTGGCTCCCAGGGAAAGCAAAGGAGCTCTGTGCCACGTGGTTTATGTATGAAAGGAAAAGAATCCTTGGAAATCCCTGGCTCTAACCTGTGTTAATTAGCAGCACACAACATGATTGGAAAATCTGCTTGTCAGAGGAGTAACAGCAACTTCACTGCACTGGAGGTGTAGACTGCTTGGGGAAGTCTCATCATCTTTCCTCAGCATCTTTCTAAAAGGTTTATTTCCTGGAAGCTCATTTCTCTATGATGATTATTTTCATTCTGTTTAATTAATCCAAGCCTGTGTTTCCAGTACTCTAGCAGTAACTTGCTGGCTGTATTGTATTTAAGAATGTTTCTCAGCCCTCTCAAGGGATAAACCCATGTAACCAAGAGGGCTCCTACTCCCTGTGTGGTAACTGGTCAGAGCAGCTTGACAGTGGGATGGGGACAGGGAACCCATCCCAGTGTCAGGGAAATTTTTGTCAGGCCTGGAAGGCCAGATCCATCCCATGTGTTAGAGCTGACAAGACCTGGTCAGCCACACCTTCTCAATCCACAAGTGACCAGTGAGACACGCAGCTCTCCACAGGCTGTCTTGTGCTTCTTGGAAACTGCCATGAAACAATAAAGCTGCTGTCAAATAATTAAATGGTTTAATTGCCTCTATTAAGATGGAAAAAATCTCCCAGTACATTATGCTACTATCTTCTCAAGATGCCCTAATCATCAATTACTGATCTGGACTAGCTCCCAGGCTGCCTGCTGAGGGAGGAGTCAAGTGGGTGTAAATGCTCCAAAGGCTTAGAGAAATGAGGAGAAATAGTGTTTTATGATCAGGGAGTGACATCTGCAGCTGGGACTGAGCTCTCTGTTCAGGGGGCTGGAGTATGACAGGGGAAAGGGTCAGAAGTGAGCTGTTATGCTTAGATTTTCCACAGAAGCATTTTTGTGCTGACCTATGGCCACCCTGGTCAATTGTCAGCCTCTGGTGGAAGATGGAGACTTCGTGTCAAATTGGATGAATAAATTGCATTTATTTATATTTTGGGTTGGTTTAATTTTTACAGAAAAATCTCCCTTATGGACTTAAAGGAGCCCAGTAACCTACTCAGTTTCAGGGTTTGAATGAGTAGATTAAGGACTAATACGTTAAGCTTATTCTTTACCAAGTGTGGGTTTTTTCATTTTTAAATGTTGATTTATTTAAATGCTTCTTTCCATGTTTTTAGGCTACGCAGAGAGGATATTAAGCAAAAACAGCTTCATAAGAAGCTTTAAGTGTCACGGGGAAGAGCAGTCCTGACTCCTCTAATAGCTGGATTGTGGTTTCAGCCCAGACATTGATTCTCCCCACTCAGCCCACCGCTTGAGGACTATTGATCACACTTCTGGTCAGATTCTGCAGCTGTCACAATCCTCTTGGCTGAGCTGAGCCTGCAGTGCTACCTCAGGCACGGCTTGTACAACACGCTATGCCTTTTTCCTTAAGCTCTTTAACATCAACACGGGTTTTGCAGATAGATATTGTAGGGAACATTTCTGCAAACACCATCTATTCCCCAGACGTCTCTACAGTGAGACCAGAGCTTCCAGGAGCAGGCAGCACAGGTACTGAAATGACCTTCTAGCAGGGCTGCGTGTTGATTGAGGGGAGGCCTTGTCTCAGGTCACATTAATCTCTTGGGGAAAGTGCAGCTCAGGAGCCTCCTCCCAGCACAAGATCCTTATGTCAGTCCAGCTGCTTGGCTTAATGGGTGTATTTAATATTTTTTTTCCCTTTTCACAGTATCCATTCGAGCTCGGCCTGGTAGCAGCGTTTGTGTTCTCGACGTTGGTGTGTCTGAGCAGGCTCTACACCGGCATGCACACACTCCTGGTAAGGATGTGCCTCCAGCTCGGCTTTCCTACAGCATCTCCCACTCTTCAAGCAATGCATGACCTGCCTTGGCCATGCCACCGCAGGAGCAGACGGGTTGTGCCACTGCATTTCAGGCTGTGAATCAAATCCGAGTCCGCAGGGGAGTGATTTATGGTGCGGGGAGGCCTCGGCGCGGGCCGAGGAGCCGGGTGAGGTCAGGGTGGCATCTCAACTGGAGTTCTCCATTTTGAAATTTTAACTGTCAGGAATGCACTTGGGCAACTGCCGCTGCTCCCTAGCTGAGGCCTTTGTGCAATAGTATCGCTGTTTGCAGCGGGCAGTCCGGGGCTGGGGCAGCCCGGGAGTGCCGGCAGGAATTGTGGCTCCCTGAGTCACCAAAGCCTGGCGAGCGCGCTGCCCTTGAGGGCCTGGCCCACAGCAGGGCCCTTGTCAAGGCCCTCAAAAACGACACGTGTCTTGTTTTCAGCTGGAAGGAAATGAATTCTTAAGGGACTGAGATGCGCAAATACTTTGTCTGAAAATAATTATAAAATATCTGCCGCTTTATATGACAGACTTGCTGGGCACAGTTGCTTAGAGACATCAGTGCTGCTTTAGGAACAAATTTCAGCATGCCTGTGATAGCTGGTTCTTTCCTGACAAGAGGAAACCTTATTGATCTGTTATATATAGTGGTCACAGGGGCAGTTCAGCTTCCCAAATATGGATTAAAACTTCTGGCTATTTCCTCACAGGAGTTTGATATGGGTTGTTGGTTGCACATGCATAAATAATTGAATCTTTTCTTCTAAATACTAATTATGTTTGTAATGAGACTTGATGACTGCAAGAAAGGGAGCCCTCATGAGATAAGGGTTAGCTATAAAATATAGCTTGACCTTACTTTCAGGCCCAGTGGATCAAAACAATATCTTACATCGAAGCTGCAGACACCCTTCCTGGGCTACTGACCTTAAGTCAATCAGTAAAAATTCTTTGCATACTTCTCTTGCGGGCCCATCATAATGAAAGACCCCTCTAAATTTAGATGGATTTTAGGGTAAAGAAGAAAAAGTCCTTTGTGCTTTTGACATGATAAAAAAGGGCTGTAAAATAAAAATAAAATTTAAAAAAAAAGGCTTCTTAGCTGAAGTGTGAGCAATGCTGCCTTTCAAAAGGGCAAATGTACTTGGCTGAGTTCTTTATCCTGTGTGTGCCATGGTGGGGATGGAGCTGGGGAAAGGCCCAGTGATCCCAGCCTCCACATGCATCCCCTCTCTTTGCAGCAGCCTGACACCCACAGTGACTGGCTCTGCTGTCCCACCTGCAGTGATGGTTCTTTGGGGAAGAAGTGCAGTTCAGAGCTGTTTCTGATCCTTGGTGGGACAGCTCCTGCCCTGAGCTGTGATGCCACAGGGCTGAGGCACAGCACTGCCCAGCCAAGCCATCAGCTGAAAGAGCCTCTGGGTTTTTAACTGAGGCCTTAATAGAAAGGAGGCAATAATGTTTTAAGTGGCCCTAGCGTTTTAGTAAAGCAAAGGAATGGGCAACAAATATCCATGGACTTGGTGTAACTGAATTTTTCCTATTTGAAGAACCAGAGGAAGAGTGACAAGTCGCATTGTGCTTTCCTGCAGCTCCATTGCAGAATCTCACCTTCTGTCGTCTCAGCTCTACAAATCTCTTTGTATTTCAGCACTGCTGGCCCTGCTTTGAATGAGGAGTGGTATCAGAAAGTGCAGTGATGTTATTAGAAGAGATATTACAATTAAAGACCTCCTGGAGAGGCAGTCAGCTGGTATGGGAGCTATCTGCATCCTTCCAGATGTACCAGAATGAATACTATGCTCAGGGAAAAGGGAGCAAATACCCATGGCCTGGGCTGTTGTTAACAGGAGAGCATCACCCAGCCAGAGAATGGGGTGGCAGCAATGCACTGGCACTGCTGACAGGTAATTTAGTTACAGCCACCCATCTCCACCACCTCAACATCAGTGTCCCGTGTGTGTGGAAAAACAGGGAAAACACAGGGTCCTTTCTTATAGGTCTTTTAAGTTATGGAGTCTGAGGACCTGGTAAAGAGGGAATGTGGAGTTACCTGGAAAGGGCAAAGTAAAAAAAAGTAAAAATTTGGACACATTTTGAAGCAGTGAATCTGTAATTTTTTAGGGGTTATTTTTGAGAAGCAAAAAGCAATTGGAGACTATGTGGCTGGTAATTGTTGTTGTTTGCCTTTTTTGTCCTGAGAGCTGTATTTTAGAAAATATTGTTTTGCTTTCCATCTTAAAACACTGGCCCGATTTTTGGTCCCTGCCTCAATGCAGTGAACAAGCTTTCCTGTCTCACATCTACTGAAGCCATTCCCTTCAGAACCACAGCTGATGTGGTGAGAACCTCACTGGTACTGCAACAGCCCTGAGTTACAATCAGTAATGTCCTGGGCTGACCAGCATGGTCACTTTTTATAACCAAAAAACCCTGAAGGGATTTTTTCCCCCTGAGATATACCCATTTAGTGTTGATGCATTTATTTCTGATTACACCTCCTATGGTGGGGGAAGATGGGGGTGTTCTGAAGCTCCCACCCTGCCCCATTGCTGGGCTGTATTTCAGTTTTTTTCATACCACCATTAATCCTGAAATTATCTTAAATACTTTAAAACTGATAAACACACAACATATTCACAGTACTTTACACGCTGTGTAGTACAGTCCTTAGGAGTGGAGTTGAGGAGCGTGAGCAGTGTCTCACACTAAATGAAAATGTAAGGGAACTCAGGCAGTAAGTGACCATCTACCAGAGAGAACAGGAAAAGTGTTCTTTTCCTTGCTAGGATTGGCAAATTGGGGAAGCAGGGCAGATGTTTGGGGCTGTGTGGGAGCAGGGCTGAGCTGCATGGCTGTGGAGGGGCTTTAGGGGAGGTAGATGGAGCCTGGGGAGGACCTGTCTGTGCTGAGGGAGCTGGAGCATCCCAGCAGGGCAACTGGAGGTTTTAAATTTTACAGGTAATACTGCACCTTGAGCAAAATCCGTGCCTGCCCTTATTTAAAAATTCCTTTATAATTGCGGGCTTGGCGAGAGGCTAATCTGTTTACACAGGCAGACAGGCAAGAATGTGCTTCCTGGGAGTGCTAGCAGCAGCTCCTGCCCAGGGAAAAACTCAGGTCCTGCTCCGGGGGACACAGCAGGGAGAATCCACAAAGCACACAGAAATAACAAATATAAGATAATGATGAAATAAGCACTACTTTTTAAAAATGCACATTTTATTTTACTTATGAACATGCAAAAATTGTTTCCCCCCCTGGCCCCATGGGTTGCTTTGTGCACCCAGTTTGGAGACCATGGGTACAATGCCACTGGTCAGGGGCAGAGCTGAGTGTCTGGGTCCCACTTGAAACTTTCAAGAGCCACATTACTGTACTGGGGCTGAATGGGAGGATAACAAAATTCAGAAAACTTGAATCAGATTTGTAAGTCAGTGTTTGCAACTGGGTTGGGAACTTCTGGAGTCAGCTGGGTAAATCTGAGCAAAGCTTTTGTGAGGAAATGTTAATGTTTGGTTACATGTCTTTAATTGGAATAGAAAAGCATGTGAACAGCTTTTGAGTTCTGCTCCTTGATTACCCATAGAGGGGTATTAAGGACTTTCTCTTCTAATATCAGGTGGACAAACATCTGTGTGGGAAATGGATGTACAGATTAGGGATGGGATTTCTGAGTGTCAGTGCTGGAAGCAGCCCCCAGTTGCTTCATGTTGGGCCAAAACATGCTTTGTGTGTAAGGGTATCATCTAGGAATTGACATCAAAACATGAATTACTGTGAACTAAAGGTATATAATATAATGGTATTTTACACACTAGACATCTGTGATCAAGTTTTTGTAGTTCCATGGCTAGCCTCATGTTTCAGATGAGGGAATAAATGGAAATTTCTATTAGGAATATACAAAATAGCTGTAGGAGTTGTTTAAAATTTGATTTGTTTAAAATCAAATGTGCTGTGAATCTAATGGAAGTTGTAAACAGTTCAGCCATATAGGAGTAATGCATTTACCAGAATGTCATTAAATATTTCTGTTGTGAAAAAAGTCAACTCATTCCTGCCTAACTCGAAGTGGAGTTCACATAAATAATTTTTGGACTGTGACCATGCATGGTAGTAGTCAGCTGTTGTGACTCATGAAAAAGATAGTCTTAGAAGAGGACATTTCTGTCTGTGACTAATGTCAGCTTTTGCAGAGCATTTTGTGGCTGTACTAACACTGCTGCCTCTATGTGACACTGGAAGGGCAGCCCAGGGAAACTTGTTTTCTTGCTTTTTACCTGGCTGCTCTCCTACAGATAGTTTTTGTTAGGGGCTACCTCCTGTCACCTTTCTCAGCTTTGTGGCTGACAACTATCAAGTTCTCAAAACACCTTATTTGCCTCTGTTAATAAATTAGGGTTTAACTATATGCTTGCTTCAGGCACTGTACTAAAAGCCGGATTTCAGAGACTTGGGCAACAAATTTCTCCTTGCTGTATCCCTGCCCGGAGGTGCCTCCCTCCCGCTGCTGGCAGAAACCATGGCACACACACCACGTCCCACAGCTCTGCACTTTCCATCCCTGGAGCTTGTGTTTCTGGGATGGGAGCGTGTCTCTGACAAAGGACAGCATCTCCCCTTTATGCAGAGCAATAAGGGATAATCACACTGATGTGATGAAACTGCTTGCAGGGTTACAGGAGGGAAGGGGTTTGTGTGAAGGCAGCTCACTGCAGTGTTGTCCCAGAGGTGGAGTTGTGTGTGTGCCTTTTCTGAGGTCATAGGTGGAGAGTGCCCTCAAAACATGAAAGCAGGTGAGGAGGAGAATGTGTGTCCATAGACACACGCATATGCATAAGCTAAGGTTGGGTTCATGGATTGTCTTGTTTTGTTTAGCACAGCCTTCAGGTTGTCTCTGCACGTGGATAATGCTATCACTGGATTCAGGGTGTTCCTCCACTGCTGGGCCCCACCAATGCAGATACTGGTACTTTATCATCACCCAAGTACCTGGTTTACCTTCCAGGTCTCACAAAGCCTTTTAAATGTGATTTCTTTACAGGATGTGATCGGAGGAGCACTGATTTCAGCTGTGCTGCTCGTGCTCTTGTATCCTGCGTGGGACACAATAGATCACTTGCTGTTAACCAGCCCCTTCTGCCCACTGTTTTCCATAGCTGTGCCTCTTGTCTTATGTTACAACTACCCCAAACTAGACTATTACAGCCCGACCAGGGGAGACACCACTACGATCTTAGGAGCAGCAGCCGGAGCAACTGTGGGATTTTGGTTAAACAATCAGTACGCTGCTTCAGCCTACACCAGTAAAAGTGTTCAGCCTGGATTTCCTCTGATCACCAGTACAATGGTGTTTGTGCTAGCCAGGTTCTTCGTAGGGATCTTGGTTGTCCTGCTGACACGCTGGCTCATGAAGAGTGTGGTCCTTGGCATGCTGGGCTATCACTACAAGTTCCCCATTCGCGACCTGGAAGCCCGGAGACGCCTGGAAGTCGAGGTGCCCTATAAGTTTGTAACGTACTCCTCCGTCGGCTTCATGGCCACCGTGATTGTGCCGCTGCTGCACCAGCTGCTGGGCCTGATGTGAGCACAGCTCCTCCTCACCGAGCCTCCTGCGGCACCACCGCTTCGGAGATGTGATAATCCAGGCTGGTGACTTGACCAAAAAGTGTGTTGTGCCTTTCTGCACTGGTGTGGTGGGGTTGGCTCTGGCTGGATGTCAGGTTCTCACCAGAGCTGCTCTATCACTCCCCTCTCTCCAGGGAGAGAAAATATAAGGAGAGGATCCTGGCTCGAGACAAGTACAGGGAGAGATCACTCAGCTGTTTTACTGTCACAGGCAAAACAGACATGACTCGAGGAAGTAAGTTTAATTTATTACCAAACTTATCAGAGTAGGATAATAAGAAATAAAACCAAACATTACAACCACCTTCCACCTACCCCTCCTTTCTAGGTTTAACTTCCCTTCTGAAGTCTCTACCTCCTCCTACCCACCATCACAGGGGGATGGGAATGGAGGTTACAGTCAGTTCATCACATGTTGCTGCTGCTGCTCCTTCTTCCTGCTCAGGGGTAGGACCCCTCACACTTCTCCCCTGCTCCAGCATGGGGTCCCTCCCACAGAAGACAGCTCTCCAAAAACATCTCCAGTGTGAATTTTTCCATGGGATGCACTTCTTCATCCAGCGTGGGTCCTCTGACGCATCAAAAGTCCTGCCAGGAGCCTGTTTCAGTGTGGTCTTCAAACCCTCCTTAGGGCATCACCCTGCATCAGGGTGGAGCCCTCCACTGATTGCAGGTGGATCTCTGCTCCTCATGGACCTCCATGGGCTGCAGGGACATAGCTGCCTCACCACAGCTACACCACAGGCTGCAGGGGAGTCTCTGCTCTGGCACCCAGAGCACCTCTTCCTTTTCCTTCTGTGATCTTGGTATCTGCAGAGTTGTTTCTCTCCCATATCTTCACTTCTCTGTCTGCCTGCAGTTGTGCAGGTTTTCCCTCCCTTCATAACTCTGTTGTCCCAGAGGTGCTGCTACTGTCACTGATGGGCTCAGCCTTGGCCAGCAGTGGATCTGTCTGGAAGCCAGCTGGCATTGGTTCTGTTGGACACAGGGGAAGCTTCAGGCACCTTCTGAGAGAAGTCACCCTTTTAGCTATTACCATGCCCTTGCCACACAAACACAAAGAAACTGGCCTAAAATATCTGACTTGGAGGATTCATGGGAATTGCTGAGCACAGGTACCTTTGGCTTAGAAATCACTGACCCCACTGTGTCCCATAGTTAGATACCCTTTCCCAAGCAACTAAATATGACAAGCACACAGCCAAAATCCCTGCCAGAGCAGTAGCAATGGCTGTTTTGCTGCTGTGGGGTTGGGGTTGCTGGGGAGCAGGCTGTGCCTCTGCCTGCCTGGCTGTGGGGCTGCTCCTGGAGCAGTAGAGCAAACCAAGGCAGGGCTCAGGTTTGGGGCACCAGGGAAAACGTGGCTGGTGGGGTGGGGGGAGAAGTGACCAGCCAAGAACAAAGTGCCATCATTGGGCAGAGCTCATAGTGCCTTCTGATGGCACTGCCGGACCAGGCCAGTGATGTGTGGATGTTTTTACTCATTATTACAATTTAACAAAAAAACAAACCCAAAATGTAAAAGAGAAGGAAAAGCTAACACAAATTTTTTATTGTGATTTACAACAAATTTACCTTAGATATTAATAAGAAAGCCTCCACTAAAGGATCCTTTGTCTACGAACAACTGAGCAGAGTTATTATCACAGCACTGAGGCTTGAGTTCAAACTGTTTAACTCCAATTTAGTTCCCCTGGCTAGGGGAAAGGAAAAAGTCCTTCCTGTCATGCAGGGGTGACAAGTAGAGTCCATAAACTGCGTTGTGGAAGGAGCTGAGTAGTGACTCTGATGACTATAGCGCATGACAATGATAAGATGCCATCATTTTCTGCTGCTGCACAACATCACAGTTGGTCTTCCATGCATCCTGCAACACTGTGTGTACACTTGTAGAATAGCAGGCAGGCGTGTCCACAGGAAGGTCTTCCCTATAACTCAGGCTGCTTATTTAAAACAATGTATTTCAGCTGTTGGACCAATGAGCTGTTGAGAAATACAGCAGTGAACATGGTCTGCTTGGCTGGGAAAATGTACCGTGCTATTGCTGCAGAGCTTCAAGCCTGGTTCCTGTGCCTTGCCTGGCAGAATGTACAGTGAGAGCCAGCTTTCTAACCATGTCCACTTGTCTTCCTGGCTGCGAGGAAAATGAACCTGAGGAATGTAAAGGAGGTGCTTTGCCATCCCTTGACTGCCTGGATAAACATAATTCCAAAACTGTAGCTGGGAGTTCTGTCTGAGCAGTGTGAGGCTTGCACATGAAAGAGCTGCACCACTCTAAATCAGGTTGCCAGTCTCCAGAAGAAATGCAAGCAGAAATTTCAACCATTTTCAGATTTGCTCAGGCTGTGGATAAACTGTTCTGTATCAGGTTGTGTGGACTTTCCATGTGCATGCAAACAGCTCCAGCGAGCCTTTCAGCAGGGCACACAGCCACTCACACCTGCCCCCGGGTGAGTGCTGGATGTGGGCCACCACAGCCATGGGGTTCCACCCTCAGCCTCTCTCCCTCCCATACACCACAGAAGTGCTGCCATCAGGTTTAAAACACCTTTAAACCCCTTGTGTTAAGAGTGCTGCATGAACACAGGTGCAGTGCACAACAGGAGCCCTGCAGAGGGGCCACATCACAAAACTGGGAAAAAACTTGGCAGCAAGATGAGCATTTAAGCTGGGGATTGGAATTACTCCCAAGAAAGGCACAGTTTGTCAGGGACATTCATGCAGCTGTATGTGTAAAATTTCTGTTCTGATTCACAGCTATTTTATGCTATGAAGATTTTATAAATTGTATCTAAATGCTTCACAAGTATTTTTATAATATCCACCTGTATGCAATTCATGCAATAAATGCAAACTCTATTTGGTTCAAATTTTTAAATAAACCTATTTTTCAGAGTTTGGTGTCTGTCTGTTTGTTTTGCATCCTCTATTGATACTTATAAATGACTGATGCAAAGGCAATGAGTCCCTCTCTTCCCAAGCTGTCCTGCTTGTGGCTCCATGTCTCCTGCTCACTCTAGCTCCATACTTTGGCTTGTCCAGAAGGATCCTGCTTTTTTAAAAGCATTTTAGAAAGAGATTACTGGTCTACTGATGACTATTTGTTACAATATTTGTAAATGTAAATGAGTGACATGCATGTAGTTAGTGCTGGGGGACTTTTGGGCACTGGAATTTCCTTCTCCTGCAATATCTACTTCTAACAGACAAAACAGTTAACT